GGGGGGGGGGGCAGTAGCAGGATGTAGGCGAGGCATCCTTGCCCAGTACTTCTGCCCATTGCTCTTCCCACCTGGCTTCCTCTCTCAGGTCATGGCATGCAATAACATTTCTTTCTTCTGCTTCAGGAAGTAGAAAACAGCCACACGGACCTCCTGGAACTGCCAAAGGACCTTGAATATGTTTCGAAAGCAGCAGGGTAAAACAGTCTCATTTCCTTCAAAATAAAATTAAAACAAACAAACAAACAAACAAACAAAAATCCCATGCACATCAATAATATACCAGAAATTAGAACACACATACAGCTGGTGTAGCACATTAACAAGATAGCATTTTATTTAGTTTTACCCAAAAGATTTGGCTGATGAATGCTGAAACCACTATAACATACAATAGTTCTACTACAGCTGACAACACTTAGAGGTGAAATTTGCAGTTAATACTGCATCCCAGACCTTCCCAAAAACTGCACTGCTTTTGCGTGAGCAGGATCGTCTTAAGTCCGGCTACCCAGAAGCATTTCTGAAGTGTCTTTAACCAGCGTGTTCTGGGAAACTAAGCTAACGCCACGCACTGAGGGGAGCGTGGAGGTGGAGAATAGCCCTTTGAATGGTGAACTTTTTTGGCTTCCATCTACTTAATAGATAAAGCTGTAGGTAGACCTGGCCATCTTTTCATAAGTACCATGGAGGAAGTACCATTTTCACGAGCCCAGACTGCATAAAGGGTTCAGAGCTCAAGATTCAGACAGCTCTACAGTTAGTCGGTGAAATGGTGGGGAAGAGAAGGACAACCAAGCCACCAGCTCAGATGAGTTCTCTCTTCAGAAGGCTGAGGATATCATGGAGTGAACTAATGGAGGAGGGCTCTGTGTATTTTCAGAATTAATCTTGACATTATACACTCGGAGTCCAGTGCCAATTTAAAGAAGTTGCTGGAGCTTCAGCGAAAGATCTCGTCATCAGATGACGATGTGAAACAACAGTACGAGAAACCTATCCAGGTCAGTGAATGGAGTTCCCTCATATCTTCCGCCTTAAAAACACACACACACACACACACACACCCCCACACACACCCACACCCAACCTGAGCCACTGCTCTGTGTATATGCTGCTGGGGAGGATCATGAGAGGCTGAAAAATTTTGCCACCAGATACGCTCTCGGATTTGGAATTAGGCTGTGATACACACAACCCATTCATATTAATTTGCTATCTCCCCCCCAGGCCCCAGATGTCTTTTGGTAAAGCCATTTCTTAAGGTGAAGTGGTCCTTCCAGGGTCCGGCTCCAGTGGAAGCCTGGACCCTGCCCAGGCTGCTCTCTGCACTCTGTTGTGCAGCTCCTCACTCTGTACAAGCCGACATGTTCACCCGCAGCGTGGATCACCAGAGGAGATTCCCCTCTCTTGAGATTAGGCTTTGCATTAAGTTTTCCGTGCCCTCCTAGTACCACCCCTAGAAACTGGCACAACTCAGTCACTAGCAGCAAAGCTCATCTCAGTGTCTTTGTGCTGCATAAGCTCTGCTACAGTTAAAACGCAGGGCCCTAGAGCCCTGTTTGAAGTTCTTATATTGTCATCCCTTTTTCTTTAGTTGTCCTTCACTCATGATCCTCTGGATGGCATTTTACTGTGTACACTAAATGCATTTCAGGATAGCATTGATGCCTCTAGAAAGCTGGAAGAGGAATTCGAAACCATTGAAAGGAAGAGAGAAGAACTTGCAAATTATCTCTGTGAAGACTCAAGCAAGTTGTCCTTAGAGGACATATTTAACACCATGAAGACCTTCAGAGATCTCTTCATCCGAGCCTTGAAGGTTAGCATTTGGGTACACAATGCTAAGCAACCCCAGGACTGGTGCCTGCCTCTGCTCAGATAGATGGGGATGGGATGGACCCTTGGGCCCTGCAGGGAGAGTGTGCTGATTATGCCTCCTTCCTTACAGCAGGTGGCATTAAGTCACCGGGTGAATTGGTGTCTGAGCCCCGTGGCATCTGCATAGCATCAGGCTGGGTGCAGACAGCTAGACCCCACCAGAGGAGTCCCCATTGACTCTTTCCTGCTAAAGCCTCTCTGTGCCTTGTATTAACCCCGTGACAGGAGAGATCTGTGGCTATATTCTCAAGGTGGTGCCCAGGACTTAAATGGCAGAGCCAGGACCAGCTCTAATGTCTTTGCTCAGGAAGGTCCAGATTCACAATAGCATTGCAGAGCCAGACCCTGGAGATTTGTGATTTTTCATGCAGCTTTGGTTCTAGATTCACAAAGATGCTTTGGAGTCAAGTGCATAGGTTTTAGAGTATCAGGATTATAAAACTTAATCCTTACCTCCAACCTGAGCAAACAGGCTCAGAAAGGGGATGCAAAAAGGAGATGTGGTTAAAAGGCCACAAGTCCGGAGCAAATCGTGGCTTCAGTAGCTTCCACATTTGCCTCAGCTAGTCAGAGGAGCTGCAGTTTGGTAGCTGTGTTAGGTAGATCACTGCTGCCACCTGCTATTAGGAATGGGCAAAGAGTCTTGGACAAGCTAGCAGTCTCCCTCCCACCCTCTTGGAAAGACAGTGTGTAATCTTAGTACCTGTTTTTACTTACTGAGGAGGATAGGATCAGAATTTCCCTTCCTCCTTTGCAACCATCTGCAGATCATCTTTCTCTTCATTGGCTTTTCTACAAGATATTTAGCCAACCTTCTCATGCCCCCTCTTACCTAACTGCAGGAAAACAAGGACAGAAAGGAGCAAGCTGCAAAAGCAGAGAAGAGGAAGAAACAGCTGGAAGAAGAAGAGGCTAAGAGACAGAAGGGAGAAGATGGAAAAGTCAGTAAGTATCTGAAAGGGTTTCATTAAACAGAGAGGGACATGTTATCGCAAACTGGCTAGGAGAACTGATAGGAGCTTTTTTCTGTTCTTGTTTTAGTGGACCAGGAGTGGTAATTTATTTTGTGGGTTTTTCAGGTGCTGGCTCACTGAAAGCTTTTAGGTGCCTTACTGCCATAGCTGAGAATTGCCTTTCTACAGTTACAGCTGGAGCAAGAACTTAATTTTTGTTTTTCTGACTGAGCAGGGGAGGAAAAATCTCAAATTGAAACATTTCAGTTATTTGAACATTTTCAGTTTCTAACAAAACTTTTGAATCCCCAATTTAACAAGAGACATTAGACTTTTTCCCCCAAAATTCCCAGAGCACTTGAGTAGTCTCACCTCAGGTTACCAGAGGCTGCAGAAGTTCCAAAAATATTGCAGATAACTTAAATCTGCCTTTCTGTGGGTGAAAATGAAAGGCACATCTGAAAATTAAAACTAGGAGAAGCTAAGAGGAAAGAAAAATCAAGATCATTTTCTCCCCATTCAAACAAAAGCAAACAGCCCCACCAACATGGATAGCAAATTGGAAGTGTTGGCACAGCAGACATCGCTAGGGACAGGTCAGGGAGGAGAACGAGCCAGTCTGTAGTGGCTGGGGCTTTGGGCTGTACCTGCAGACTACAGCTCAGACAAGCTGCAGTGGCTGCTGTGGCATGCCCCGAGTGACAGCCCAAGGTGCTCAGGTAAAGGACAAAGCCAAAGTGCAACCTAGGTCTTCTGAACCCTGGAGCTTGGTTGTGGTTTCTTTCTGCAGGACTTGCAGCCTTGTCACAGGGGCTGGTCCACAGCGGGATTTTGCCTCGGCACTTTTGCCCCATTGTCATTTGCAGCAGGGCAGTAGGTAGCAGGCAGGATAGCATCGCTGCACCTGCCCATGGGCAGGGCAGAGTCAGAGGCCTTCTGCCCTGCTTGGTGGGGCATGTTGGTAACACTCGTCTCTCTATCCCAGTTAAGAAGGGAGCGGTGAAGCAGGAGGACGTGTGCGTCATCGATGCATTGCTGGCCGACATAAGGAAAGGGTTCACGCTGAGGAAGACAAAGAACAGACACGAGTCGGATGCGCTTCCTAAAATCTTGCCAGTGGAGAGCCCAGAGGAGAGCCAGCCTGGTAAGGACACAGACTTGACTGTACCTGCAGCTGTTCATTCCCATCTGCCTCTGAGCATGAGCCAAACACACAGGCAAGAAGTTTCCAGCATTTGCATTTGGGGCATTTTATTTAAGGAGGCTCTACAGCCAGTGCAATGGAGAAGAGAAGCAAAGAGCCCTGCGCTGTTGCCAGCCAAGCCTGCTCCTGAATTAGCAGCAATATATTTGTCATAGTGTGGCCTTGCACCCACATTGATAAACCCTCTGAGAGGCATGGCCCATGGCTCAGCTACAGTACCATGCTGATGGGGCTCTGCTGCTTCTGGACCCACACTGGTGTCGTTCCCACGTGAGGCCCCCCCCATGCCACTGAGTCTCACTAGCACAGCTTGTCACTGCCCTGGAGAGCGCTGCACCATGCCCCAAGTCCCCATTTGGATGTCTAAAGCAGCCCTTAAAAAAAGGGCTACAAAACCCCATTTGCAAAAGGATCTAAATCCCAACACTTTTAGGTACTTGTTAGGAGACAGCCCAAGAGGACTTCAGCAATTTTTTTGGCTCGTGACCTCAGCGCTGACACTTACTGCACCTTAGATGAGCACACAGTCATTGGCCCACCGTAGGGCCTGGCCTGTGCACAGTGGCTCTCCTGGGATGCTTTGCCAGGGCAGGATTAGGCTGGAAGAGGCCTCAGTAGCGGGAAGGGGGCAGGGGTTGAAGTCCTCTTGCAAACCAAGCCAGCAGTCCCAGCTGGTTCAGGACTGTGCAGGCTGGTTCCCTCTTCCTGCCATAGACTTTCAGGCACCCCTCTTGCAGCTCCATTGACTTCCATGGAAACCAGCCAGTTGGCAGCAACGACACATAAACACCTGCTGAAAGTGGAGCAGGTGCTTTGCTGCGCTGGAGCCTTGGAGTCCAGCTGAGGTGACCACCTCGTGTGTAAGAGGGGATGTCACTGTGCTAAGGAAGCGGTTCATCCTTGGCTGTACAATAAAATGGTGCTGCCTATGCATAGCTGCTTTGGGTTCAGCGCACCCTTTGCAGGCAGCTGCAAGCTTTTGTCCCACTGAGAGAAACACCTTGGCTGATTTCTGGTGTAATTCTGCAGCTGTGCCTGATCATGTGTTTTTTGTTTAAAGGAAAGAGCATTAATGATCCACAAGCAGCAGAAAAACAAATCAATAATAAGAAAAGGCAAAGCAGCAATGGTCGTCCCTCAGAAAGCACTCCCTCCTCAGCCACTGCCCTAACAGAGACAGGTAAAGATGTTACAAATGCCTCAGCTTCAAACCAGGCTTTATCTAAAGAAAACACTGAAGGAAATTTGCCACCAGAGTCCCAAACTGAAGGCTCATCTGTCAGCTCAACGGAAGTTGATGGGGCCGGTCAGCCCAAGCAGGGAGCAGGCATGCAGCAGGCAGACGGCTTGGTAAGCCTGCAGGAGAACACCGAGAGCGGCGTCATTGCCTTCTCTGCCACCAGTATAGGCACTGGGATAAAGTTCGCGAGCAGCAGTTTGAGCACTGTTCTGAGAGACCAGCTCAATGGGTCCGTTTCTCCAGAAGACCAGGACAACGAATCCCAACCTGATGGTTCAGAGAGCGTCAGGCCAGCTAACGAGCCAAGCAATCCCCAGCTAAGCAAGAATGGAGTAGATCCTGGCAGTGCTCAGTCCACTCCCTTTGATGAGGCTCATCAGGCAGGGTCAAGAGAGATGGCGAAGGAAAATGAAGACCCTGGTACAGACTCACTGTTGGACACTTCTCAAGAGAAGTCCTTCTCAGAGGAGCCAGCCACCGATTCTTCCTGTTCAGCAACGCTCCCCCCTGGAGAAACTTATAGTGACAGGGAAAAGCAAAGAACATCGGGGAAACGGAAAAAGAAGAAGAGGCACAGCAAAAGCTACACAGGTAGCCTGTTTTATAGCATTCTGGGACGGAGTTAAATCAGGGAGACTTCCCAGTATGTTTGTATATCTCTGTTCCTCCCCACTTAGAGGTCCAGCGCTGTCCATAGGAGGCCCCCTATGAGCCTAGAGCAACTCTGTTTAATGGAGTTATTTTTTTTAATCTGAAAAAAGGTTTAAAAAGAAAACGCAAGCATTGTTCATTCTCTTGACATTTATAAGTTGTTTATAAAGGGGTAATGATGAATTAATAATTAAAAAGCCCATTACACATCTGCAGTAAAGATGGCAATAAGCACATCTGTCAAATGCGCTAAAGACAGCTACAAGCCACGGTTATGTGCAAACAAGAGCTCCATCAGACTCCAGAGCAGTGATTAAGAGCAGTTAATACTGTGTGCTTAATCAGCGATCACCCCATCTCTACTCTTTATAAACTCATAAAGCCAGCAACATCAGCACTGCTGTGATTTTTTTTCCCCTCTCATAAGCCTTGTTGCAAGAGCTCTTTGCCTGCAGTAACCAGAAAACATGCCCCAAGTGTACTTCAGGAGGCTCCTTCTGAACATCAAGCCTTTGAGCTGCAGGGTAGGGGTTCAAAGCCAACAAGTGAAAACAGTGTCTTGCTGATGCTTGTGCAAAGGACTGCATTCAGCAGGCTGAATCAATCCCTTGTCCTGGGCTGCTGCCCACTCGTTCAGGAGAGGGCAGGTCTCCCCTTCCCTGCTCTCCTTGCTCCCTTCCAGCAGGAACCGTGGCCTGCGGGAAAGGTGGAGCCCATCCAGGTCTCAGCCTGAAAGCAAGCATGCACAGCCTGTCCCAAATCCTGGGAAGTGTTCCCAAGTCCCTCAAACTCAACAGAGCTGGAGTCACCCTTGGGTGGATATTTTATCCCAAAATAGAGGAGCTAACTCAGAGGGGAGACACTTGGGTCTGTCAGCCTTTTGATAGATACAATATATTGTTCAAAGCCTGTTTTTTGCAAGATCCTAGATCAACCAAACGGGCTGGCAAGTGGTAGAAGAAGAAATTTTTCCTTCCAAGGAAGGTGGAGGAGAAAGGAAGGGAGGTTTTGAATACCCACTGCTGAGGAAGACAACACAGTCTGAGCATCTACCACAAAGCTGCTTACCCCTATGGGGCTGGCAGGGCCGTAGTCATTTATGTTTCTAAACAGGTCAATTTCCTCCACTTAAAAGCAAGCCACAAAACAGAAGTGTTTTCCCAGAGCAGTGGTTCCCAAACTTTCATTCTCCTGAGGCTTTTCTGCAATGAGGATGAATTTCTCCTAGACCTCTTTCATTTCACACCCAGCCCCGATTCCCCCTTCCCTGAGAGCTTCAGATGCTTTCCCTGCCCCATAGCTTCTCCGTTCCCAAAAAGGGCAGAAGCGGAGAGACTGAGGAGGATGGAGGGAATTCCTCGCCTCTGCCCTTCCCAGGAGGTGACAGAAGGAACTGCAGCAAAGGGAAAACCTCGCGCTCTCACCCCTCACAGCCCTTTCCTGACATCTGTAATGAGTATTCCTGGCTCAAGGAACAGACCCCTGGGGCTCCCTAGGTATCCAGACACTGCATTTTAAGGACCTCTCTGCTACTAGGTAATGGGCTTATCCTAAGAAGTTCCCTATTGTTAATTTGTCTTGCTGTGATCACATATATTTAGTGTTTCTCTTTCATTTAAAAGCAGAGGTTGACACTGATACTGGAGATAATAAAACAAAAAAAGATTGTGTGGTACACTGAGGTATGTAAACTTGCAAAGACATTTTTTTGTGAACTAACCATAGCATTGGGACGTTACAAACTTAATCAGTTCTTGGCATATCAGCTAAACTCTTTGTCTTTGTGTCTAATCACAAATACATTTAAAACAAATTTGTTACTCTGATTCTTACTCTCCAGGGGGTTGATCTTGCGTTGAGTGGAGTCAGTGCGCCTGTCCCCACGACACAGGGTCACGTCCCACATGTCCGTCTTCTGTGTCAGTAGCAGTCAACCTGCCTTTCCCCGCAGATAATTAAAAGTTGTTGTTCTAACCAAGTGAATCCAGCTTCACGTGATAAACAAAGGCCTTGCTTTGATTCAGTTATTTTCTCAAAAACTGTAAAGATGCAATTTCAGTACCTACCTCTTGCAAAAAACGTTTGGTTTGCTTTCAGGGGAGCCACTTTCTATAGTGCTGTTTAAGTATGGGTATTTGGTATATGGAATAAGACGATGGACCTGGGGAGAAATACTGTTTGTGGCGAGATACCAGCCCCAGCTCAAAGCCAAATTCAATTTTAGAATCCTGATTTAACACACAAAGTAGTTCACTAGAGCAAACAGACCGTGCATACTTCCTATGTGCATTCATACAGTTTTCTGGGATGAGAGGGGAGAAGATAGTTTTGTTTTGACACCACAAAAAAAAAAAAAAAAGGTTAACCCAATTTCAAATAAGAACGTATGTATCACGTCCCCTGCATCCTTCGCTGATGTTGGGAACCTACAGTCGTTCATCATGGGAAAACTTTGGGAGTCCCACCCACAGGACTCTCATTTATGAAAGTTTGCTTGTATTTATAGCGAGTGGAAAGACAAGCAAGAAACAGGAACAAAACATCCACTGTACTGAAATTGCATAGTTACTTGTTGCCCTTTCCATGCTGATGAGCATCTCTTATGAAATGAATCAATAACACCAAATCTCTCACTGTCTCGTTTCGTGAAAGGAATGTGTTTACTCCTCAGCATCCCCCGTGTCTGGGTACGTGAGCCAAGCAGGGCCGTGCTGCTCCCTTGCAGCCTGGGGCAACCTGCCTCCGTTCCCTCTCTTGGGAGGCTGGAACGGACGAAGCCCGGCGGGATTTCCACGCAGGGTTAATTATGTCCTGCGCTTGCAGCCTGATCTCTGGCAACAAAAAAATCAGCTCTGTTGTGGGCAGTTGCGCCCCAGGCTACTCCTGGCCTCCTCTTGGCCCCTTTCTTGCCACACCGCAGATTTACATTGAGAGGGAAGTTGCTTTGTTTAAGAATCCTAATGAAAATTTACAGTAAGAGCAGAAAATAGTAGGCATGAGGCAGAGGTAAGAAGCAAGCCAGGACCAGTGATTGTGCTAGACAGGGAGGGAAGCTGAAACCGTGAGTTAGTTATAACACTGGATATGTATTTTTTATGCAGAGGGATTCCATGCAGGCTTGAAAAAGAATCATATTTGAAAAACAAACAAACAGACACAGGCTGCTTTGAATTCTCCTTAGAAGACATAGGAAAGCAACAGAGAGCAATACACAAAAAAACAGCACCTTTATGAAGCGGCTGAGAAACTTGAGGCAGGAAGGCAGGAGTTTAAGCGTATCCTTGAAATGCAACACCAAGCTGCAGCCGCATCCTGCCAGCGGCACCCTTGAGCGCTCCAGCGCCGGGAGGACAGGGACGAGCAGCCCCTTCCGATCTGCAATTCCTCCCCCCCTTTTTTTTTTCCCCTCTTCTCCTACCTTTATGTCATTTGCCTATCTATATTAAAAAAGGGAAGGGGTCAGTCCCCACCTGCAAAGAGACGGCAGGGTTTGAGAATCAATTTTTTTTGTTTTGTTTTAATTTAATTCTAGAGAACCAGACGTTTCACCTCCCCTTCTGCAGGCTCAGTGTCACCTGCAGGCTGTGTTCTGATGGACCGTGGGGATGTAATCAGGCTAATGCTTGTCTTCCTTTGCCTTCACGTCTGTCATTAGAAGTGGTATTTCCTTCAGTCGTTAAGTGGGACAGGATCTTAAAAATGACAGTGTACAATCCTGTCTTGTGGCCGTCTTAACTCCCTCAAGAAACACCTCTGGGCAGCTGGGAAACTGCACACAGGACAAGGAGCAGGGCTGAACTCAGCACTGCAATTTTTCTACATTTGGCTCAGCAGGGAATTTCCTTTGTGCCCTGTGAATCTCCCTTTCCTTCAGCCAGGACCCAGCTGTGCTTGCCCTTATAACATGCAAGCTGGGCAGATACCCCACATCTGCATGCGATGCCACATAAGGATTTTGTTTCACCATGGTTTACAATGACACCCATGCCTAAACCACTGCCAAAAAATGCCAGCTCCTCTTTCAGAGAGATCAGGATCAGTCTTTAAATTTAGTAAGTTTAGTAATTTAAAATATAGATGCATATTGCAATATTCTGCTTGGAAAACACAAGAGTCATGTTATTGGATTGAACTAGCGCCTAGCTGCAAAGCAGAGTTGGCTACACTCTTGAACCGTACAATCAGTTCTGTATGTATGTGAGGTTTTTATTAACTAAATAAAAATGTAGATCTACCAGGTTTTAACTTACCTGATGCCGATTTCCCTAGAAGCACCCCAACCATTAGATACACACAGATGCAAAACCACACAGCTTCATTTTTATAGTTGTGACTACTTTGTATTTTCCTCTCCTCCTGCAGGTGTCACAGCAAGGCAGAAGAAATAATTGAGATGCAGTGAAATGCTAACAAATCCCCCCAGTGCTGCCAGTCTCTCGGAAGCAAAGTTCTGCAGTACCCAAACGCCACTTACAGTCAGTTTGTTGCAGCCGGATGCAAAGCTTCTCCTCGCACAGGCTTTTACTCCCTTCCTGAAGACCCAAAGAACCTCCCTGGAGACTTGAGCACCTTCAGCCCGTGCCTTACGTGTCCTCTGCCGAGGCCTGGTGCTGCGAGAGCTCCGCGCCCAGACGCCCCTCGAGATGTGGGGACTCTGTGTGCGGAGGGTTGCAAGGGTCAGACCTCGAACGAACTCTTCTTCGAGCCAAATCTTTCAGCTTGCTTTTAGGCAAGGCTCCTCTCGAAACGATAGTTGAGCTTGGCCCAAGAAAGCACTGCAGCACGTAGCCCTCTGAGGAATTTTAAAAATAGCAGTGCCTCGACAAATTAAGGGTGTGAATTTAGCACTTGTTGCACTGTTACGGGTGGAAGTATGTTGCTCCCTCATCACCCGCTGACAATTTATATTGGAGCAGATCCAAGACACAGTTCAGACAAATGTATTTTCACTCTCAGTTGTTTAAAACAAGGGAGATCACAGAAACAAAGCGTATGTATTTTATTAAACCTACGGCCATATAAACAGTGTCCAGTTCCAACCTATGCTTGTGTGCAATTAAGTGTAAGCATGTCAGTAGTCTTGCAGTAGTCTCACGTACAGATACATGCATAAACCTTTGGAGAATCGGGGCCTAAGTTCCTGTGACTAAAGCAGCAGAAAGAGGTTTTCCAGGGGGCTCTACTAGCTAGATTTTCAGCTCATCCTTTAGTAAATCTCTGGGTTTGAATATCATGCTCAGCTGCTTGCACTCAAAAGTCATTGTGTTCAAGTTGCAGAATGTGTAGTTTCATGTTACTGTTTTAAAACTAGGAGTGTGCAGTATTGTGTTTTAAAAATTCAGAGCTTTATTTCTCAATTAAGTTTTGTAATAACTTTGTATCATAGTTTTGTACATAGTTGTCAATTTAAAATTCTGTATGTTGAGTCTATGGTGTGATACTGTGCTGAAACATGCATCGATTGGAAGAGATTGTTACAGTTAAGAACTATGCCTTTATATGGTAACTCACTGTGTCTAGACTAACGTTCAGACTAAAGCTTATTTTGCTTTGCTTTGTAGGACTTGTAATCTATTTACTGAGAACTTTGCTGGACTAAGTTGGGAGTTAAACCAATTAAAATCACTGATGACTTTTAACAAAAGCATTGTTACAAGCATATTGAAAAACTGGTTAAAAGCAAAGATCAGTTTAGGATAGACACGTTGCAGATTCAGTTCCTGAGATCCTGGGGGGCAGCACAGCCCCGTTGCAGCTGAAAGCAGACAGCCCACTAGCAGAGGTGGGCAGAGCCCCACCATTTCCTGCAGAACTGCCTAACTTGCCCAGGTGTGACTCGTAGTACTAACGCTATCATGTTTACAGGTCTACCCTTTTGTCTTTTTTCCAGTCTCAGAACACATCACTCAAGTATCAATCGTTTCACTGTCATTTTTCCTGCTCTCATATTAGAGCCCAGGCTACAAAAATCTGAGTATCAAACATGTTTACCCAGCAGCTTTGCAACCTCTGAGTTTCCAGCAAGAGCCTACAGCCCAGAGTAGCAGCAAGTAGCCAGCCTCCTCCACCCCACAGCTATTTTACCAAAAGGAACAAGGTCATTTTGAGATTTCGGACTAGGGAGCCTTACCTGCTGATACTCCAGGCAGGCTGATTTCTTCAGAGGCTACAGCAGGTGTGCACATCTCACTCTGGTCTTTCAGCTACTCCTATTTGCATCTGAAGAGAAAAACCCTTTTCACAGGGCCGGGAATTTTATTTCTCTGCATTCTTAGCTTGGCCTTCAAAGAAACGGCGTGTGGCATTGTCTTTTCACTGGCCTCAAGAGTTTGCTGAAAAGTGCATTATTTTGAGCCACTGCTGGTTCTTTGTTCTGTAGTCATCTGTGAAAACTATATTAAATTGTCTATACAATGACATCCCGATGAGCAGGCCAAAGCACGGCACTTACTTAGAATTATTACTTAAGAGCAGCTCTGCTTCCATTGTAGAGATTATTTAACAAGAACAGGAGAGCAGAATCAGAGCAGGTCAAAGAAAAAGGTCCAGCTAGGATTTGCTCCATTTGTAACCTTTAAGTAAAGCTTGTGATCTTGAAGATTTTTTCAGTGATGGTTACAAGTTCAAACTAATTGCTGGTAAAAACAATGGCACTTGCAGCAGCTTCAACAGGTCTGTGCTCATTTGAGCCAATAGTGAGTTTTGACCTCAAAAAATAATTCTTGTAGTATATTACAGCAAATGCACATGGAATCCATTATGTAAACAAGCCTGTGAACATGACAAGTTTCTAGCTGTCAAATAACTGCATATTCCTAATTAAACACCAGCTATGTGATAAAACCAAGCTGTGGAAGAAATGAGCAGAGTTTTTTCCAAACACTTCACTAGATATGGGGTACGTTTAAGGGGATGGATTTTCAGGTTTTGATTTTGCTTTGTTTTTTTTAATTTCAATAATGAAAATATTTCAAAGTTTAGAATAAAAGAGATCAAAGTAACCGACACCTTTCCTTTCTTTTGTGGGGGTGGTAAGGGCCCAAATTATTTTTATGCTTTCTCTTCAATAGAATTGTAATTCACAATTAAGCTATGTTCTGATTCTGGATTCCAACCAGAACTGCTTATTAACACTATTTTACTGTACAGTTAAAAATCTTTTTCCTTAAGTGAAAAGAAAGACAAACAAAAAAAAAGAAAGTCCACCCTACTAAAAAAGCTATTGCTATAATCTTTGCTCACACTGTTTCAGGTGCTTCCTTCTCCTGTTGCAACCTGGCTCCCGTTGAAGGCCCTGATCATGCGAAGACTTAGCTACAGTACTGCAGATCCCAGTAGAGTCAGTGCAACCTCCAGTATACGTAGAGTCAAGCCTCTGTAGGTCTTTGAGGGGCCTGATCCTGCAAATAGAAATATCTTTGGAGCAGGGACTTTGTCAAACAAGCTGGTGAGTCTTGCTTGACACTTTACTGCCCAAAGTTGTCAGTGTTGCCCCTGTGCCGGAGGTCACTGGCCTGTACCAGGATCTGCAGGAACATTAGCTCATGCATCAGCTACTCCAGCACCGCGACGCTCGATCTCGGCCTCAAGCCCTGGAGCAGGTACCAATGCACTGTAGTTAGAGTACATCCAGCCTCTGCGCATCCAAAACTGGGCCAATGCCGTTCAGCTAGAGCATACCACCTGGTCCTCATTTACATTCAGTATTGCTGCAGGGGCTGAGAAATACCCTCTGTTCTCTTTGGGAGGGGACAGGATAAAATTCAGATCAAAGGGAAAAAAAAAACCTAGGAGGGCTTTTTTCAGTAAAAGTAAGCAATTTTCTTCTGTCTAACCATAAAGCCTAGATCTACATATTTCTAGTTTTCTCTACACAGTGGAGACTTTGCAACGTATAAGCTTAACAATAATAAAATTAGTACCATGCCAATCTTATCTCTATAAATATATACATTTGTTAATAGTCACAACAATGAAATACAGGTGAACATGTTAGTCATGGGGATTATGCTCATCTGTTGCATCTGAGAGCAAATACATCCATGAACTACCCAAAGACAAACTCTTATCACAAAGCATGTTTTGTTTGGTTACATCACACTCAAGCTGTGGGCATGCTATGAAAAAGAGTTTTGCTGTATCTAGAACCTTGTCTAGAGAGGAAAAAAAAAAAAAACAAGGCAGCAATAGCGAATAGGCCTGCTCAGACATTTGTAACTGCTGTGCAGTGACAACCTCCCAGAATAACTATACTGTTTGCCAGATTTGCAATGTCAATGCAGCTCCATAGTGGAAAGAAAAAAAAAAAATAGCAAATACGAAGTTCTGTGACATATACAGCTGCCTGCAAAGGTCTAGGTGCAGACTACAGCTTAACTACATGTAGTCAAACGACAGCCAACTCTTCCAAACCATGACCTGTCTCAAACCTACCAAACATCCAAAGATAAAAGCTATTACATCCTGTCACTAATCCCTTCAGATATGCAAACTGCAATTAAAGTAGTTTCAGGAATTCCTTTCCATTTTCAAAAGTATGAGTGAAATTCAGGGACATATTTTATAAACATGCACAGTGCCACGTGTCCTGTGTAGCCGGCCTCCTAGTCTGCTAGTTATCTGCTCATTACTGTTCATGTCCTTTCATGCTCAATAGCTCCATGATGGTTGCACAGTTCTGGTTGAATCACATGCACTTCCTAAAGCAGGTTTCCCACAGAAGGGGAACGTTCACAGTCCACCAGGAGGAAAGCAGTGTACCACACTGATCTCAGAATAAGAGGCAGTCTCGCAAATCTAAGGCAGCACCTTGCAAAACATAGACATAAAAACCCACCAAGCTTCCTCAGTATAGTCTTATACTACATTCCAGCTCTGTAGCTCAGTCTCTACCCTCTACATAACCCTCTGTTAGTCCTAAAACCTGTCTTCGCCAACCTCCTACCTTTCACACCCCTTCTCTGCTTCTGTGTATACCATCACTTGCCTCACTGCTCTGTTGCAGGCATACAAAGACCACCTAAAAGCACTACTATGGCTAGTAGTAGTCTTAATAGCAGTCTCCCCTCCATGTTAGCCCCTCATAGTTTCTGCTGGCTCAGGATCCACCTGCAGCAGGTCCCAAGGCTCCTGCCTTATCTTCAGCAGCTGTAAAGTGCAGATAGTTTCCTTAAAAGGCTTTTTCTGTTCACACCATCCCTAGGGTCTAGCCCACAAGCATTAAGCACATAGATTTCACATGCATGCTCCAGACAGCACCACAAGTAGTATCAGAGCAGAAAGCAAGCCTTTCTGCCTTGTTTTCCATCTGCTTTCAGTAATTTAGTATGAAAGAATCAAGGCACAGCAGTAGCTGAATCTTAGTAAGGAAGAGGTGGGTAACTTGCTGGATTGCAAACGTTAAATAGCTTTTTGATAGCCAGAGCACTAAACTGAGACACAGGAGACCTGGGTTACCCAGATTTTGCCATCGACTTTCTGAATGGCTTTGGACACGTCATCTTTCTGTGCCTCAGTTTTCCCATCTGTAAAAGGGGGGCAATCATATCTGAATAAAACAGCTTGGCAACTATTACTGAAAAACACCACAAAAGAAATATCATTAACAGTAAGCAAAAATCACTTTTTTTTCTCTTTTGTGACTTTGTAACACATGGATGCTACTGTAAAAGGAAGAGTGTAACTTTCAAAGAACTATCATTCCCCTAATACCCCCCTGAAACCCATATGAATGCATGTGAGAGGAGGAGGGTAACCCTTACCACAAAACGGAGTTAAATAAAAATTGCTTATCCAAGGAATGATTAAGTACTTTGATTTTTTCAATGTATTTTTTATCTTTGGAACAGTCATAAATAGCAGTGATCGCTGTTGGAAAGTCAACAAAGACTCTTAATGCAAGCAGAAGCCTGACCCTAAACAGTAGAAACTGCAGCCTTTTGTGGGTAACAAACGATCGCTCTTCTATTGGTCAGAAATCATTTATCTACGTGATTGAGTGATTAACCCCTCCCTAACTGATTTATACAGCCTGTAGTTAGCTTCTAGCCATTTAGCAAACAGTCCATCTTATTACCCTTTATTAGAAAATTTGACCCTTGTACTTACATTTTTGATGGTTACCTTTAAACTTTCCAGGGACACAATTTGTAATCCAGTTTTTAAAAAAAAGCTTTGGAAATAGTACGCAGAGGGAAGTGCTAGGTTTTCTGAAGTGTTCCCTGAAACTCCTGTTTCCAGTACAACAACGACTAATCAATGAGCTTCCAGCTACAAAGAAAATGAAGTCTTACACAATTACATAGGCCCACATCAGCCCATCAGCAACACCAGAAACAAAGGAATGATAGTGCTCATGTGGTCTTATATATGTGTGTGTAGGTGTATACATACATATTTAAAACCTACATAACCAACATACAACACATATTTCTAGGCTAATGAGAAGTGGGTCTATGTTCAGTGCATGGGTAAGTATAGAATGAAAGTCTGATTGGGGCAGTCTTTGAATATTAGTAGCTTCTCTAGTAAAACAAAAGGTAGAATAGCAGAGTACTGGAAACAGCTTCACAGTTAATTGCAGGTTCATTGACTTCCAGTTGGATCATCAGAGCTGGGCTAGCTACAGAGTCAGCTGCTGTTCCCTGCCCTGCCTGAATGGTGCAAGGCCATCACTTTGCTCTCATACTTGTCAGTAGCAAGCCAGTCCCTGCTTGGTTGCACTAAGGTATAATTTTCTTGCCAGAGATGGATTTTTGCATATTCTAGAAAGAAGTCTCATGCAGAGTTTTTTCCTTTAATATATCCATAAGCTCATTTGAAGAGCAATATAAGTTAAAGCTGCCTTGAAGTAATACCACAGCCTTAATCTTCCTAACTGCATGGATTTCACTACATAGTCTCAAAAGTATAATCTTTGAAGGTACGTAATTATAAAGCTATTTATCATTCAAAACATATTAGCTATGTTTCTTGTGAAGTATTCTTATTTCATTAGGATTTAAGAACAAGTCTTTCCCTTTATACAAACTCTATAGCAATTTAGAAGAGCTCTCTGATTAAAAAAAAAAAAGTGCTTCCTAATTAATAGGCTTTCACCAATTCCTCCAACAGCTTAATTAATTCACATAAGCAGCAGAAATTTCACATGATTATTTCTAATAAGAATTTTTTATCAGCTCATTTTACTCCTAATATTTCTAGCAGAAAGTGGATTATTCCTCATTAGGCTCTTTCATAGTGCTGAATCCCTCACTTGTCCTGCTAGGGTAATTACAAACATCTGTACAAGTTTAGCACAAAGATTGTGGAGTCCTAAAGGGGATACATTAAGTTGTTTGCATAAATTAAATGCAAGCCTACTTTACCTTTGGGAAAATGTTAGTGCTTATTTGTCTGAAAAAATATTTATGGAAAGCGACAACAAATTAATTCAAGTAAACAGCAAATCCAGTTAGTACTCATTTCCTATTATAGGTCTTTGGTTTAGCTATTTTAAGTACAGTTTTTAACTGGTTCCATTTTGTATGTAAAACAACTATTATTTTGTAGTTGATTTAACATTTACTGGTTTTTAATGTAAGACTTTTTTACTAAATCAAGATTAAAAACATAAATCAAATGTTTATGGCTTCCTTTTGCCTTGGAACAGTTTAGCTCACAGCGTAGCTGAGGCTGTCCTAAGACGGGACACTACCATCAGAGGGAACTGCTAGGCTTTAAAGACAAAATGTTTCAAAGTATGGGAGATGTTTTAAAAGCACACTATGGAACAGAAATGCATCAATTCCAGGTTTTAATGAAGCTCCCTTAATGACTTAGGCAGACAGAACTCTTTACCTAAAGTGCTGTGTCAGGAGAATAATGGTCATTCGTAAGTATTAATTTAGTCCTTTGGGAACATAAAAATGGCATATACCTACTAAGTCTCTGGTTCTCCACTCAGCATAAAACTAAAAGTACCCATATAGCTAAATCTGTTAAAGCCACTGGTACTACTAACGTATGTTTTGTTAAAGGCTTGCATAAGGGCTGGGATGATGTGGGTCTCTTGCTGTCTATTTGAGATATTTTAAAAGGCTACATAAACTGCACTACTTCTAGCATTTTGATAGTTTGCTCATCATTCCCTGTTTAACACGCAGTGCTATTACCACTGTTGAAGAAGATTGCTGTGGAAGTTAGCTAAAGGAGACAAATCACACACCAACCATAGCCACTGAAACTGAGATTAAATGTCCTAGGACACCTTCTGTCCATAAAGATGGACATTTTTGCAAAAGAAAACTCCTCTCTATAAAGCAAATACAACCAGGCCCTGAGCCTGCAAGTACCTCCACTGACATGCATATTTAAAATAGGACATTTGTCCAAGCTGAAGACCGCTTTTGCAGCCCCTTCACATAACATAGTTTTCTGCGAGAAGCTCTAAGAGAAATTGTACCATTTGAGCACAAGAGTTAGGTTCTACCCTCTATTAAAATTTGGTTGAAAGGCAACGTAAGACCATTTTAGTCATTTTTAAGCTTACCTGTCACTCTCCTGTGTGGTTGTAGACTCCTAAGCAGCCTAGGCTGAGTTTTCCTCAGCTGTAGCTTGTTTAATTTATTAGGTCAAAATTTCTCTCAAAATCCCCACCCTTCTCCACTCAAAGTAAGTTGTGGTTAGGGAGTTCTTCAGGGCTTGAGAATGAGTGAGTGTGTCCCCGTTGTCTGAGAGGATACTTTCATGCAGCAATGACTGTAGCTACTTTTGTAGCAGGAATTCACTTACCCCTTTAAGAGAAACATCCCACTGAATAGCTGAACAGCAAGGGGGGAAAAAGCAATCAGAAGGCAGGTAGAGATTTACAATGCTGATGGTATTTGCTTTTCTGTTCTTTATATGCCTCAACAAAAAGGTAGAAGGAGCAAGAGAAATCAAAGAGGAGCCTTATGGTGATGCCTTACTCCTGACATGCCCAGCCAAAGCCACCGTGCAATGTCACTTGTGTTCCATGTATAGCAGATAGAGCTGTTTCTCCCATTCGCCCTAAAGGGAAGGGCACTGTTACTTTTGTGTTTCTTTGTGGGAGTTAGCAGGAGCTGGCAGCTGGGGCGGACCTTGCTGATCTGTGCACCTCACTTTTTTCTTGTAGAGCAGGAAAACAGGACTGGAGAAGCCATGGAGAACTCACTACCAAGCAAGAAGTGTCTAAATCACCATAATTCAGTGCCCAGGAGATCTGTTCAAAAAGTGAACAAATGCATTCAAGTTGACATGGACTTGGAAGAGGAGAACCACAGGGTGGATCTGAGCCCTTCTCCAACAACCTGCCTTTCTGAGAAGCCACACCAGTCTCCAGGGAACACGCTACCTCCCCAGCAAGGTGTTTCTCCATCCTCCTCAAAACAGTCTGCCACGTTGGCTCTGCAGCCATTGCTGCCAAGCCCTCCACCCCTACCCCCTGGACGCAAGATGCCCCCGCCGCCCCTTCCCATGCCTGCTATAAACACCCCGCCAGTCCCACCGCCTCCGCCGTGCAGTAATCCTGACTGCAACCATCTTGCCTGTGGATGCGCTGGGCACCCCTACCCTAAGAAGGCAAAGACACCAACGCTGAGGATGAAGGTGTTTCACTGGCAGAAGCTCCCCTCTGATGTGGTGAGACGTACGTGCTTGTAACACTGTGCTGGCTGGTTCATTTACTGCACATTTGAACAAAAACAGTAATGTTAGGGGTTAGAACTTGACTCGGTAAGTCAGGCTGCACACACGGTCCTGTCACTCTCTCTCAGTCCTACCAAAAAATTAGTCATTACTAATAAATTGATAAGTCTTGGACTTGGCTGGTAAGTGGAGGAAATAGTAGTTTGGGAAAAGCACAGAACTGAGGGTCCAGATCTGTTTGTTGCTGCTAAAAGTGACCTTTATTACCCACTTAGCCTCTCTCTCTGATCTGTTAAACTGTTGTTGTGAATCTGCTCTAATGAAGGTTTACAAAACACTCGGAAGTCCACTAAGTGGAAAGATCTGTTGAACAGTACTGTGGTTTCTCCTAAATGAACTCACAGTTCCTCATCAGTGATTTGCACACTGCTGCAAAACAACACGAAAGTCTGTGGTTAACATGCGGTCTGCCAAAGGGGTTTGCAGGGCCTGTTCAACCTTTGGCAAGGAATAGGTCCCTCACGTAAGACTGTGAACTCACTTTCCATTTCTGCTGCAGTTTTTAAAACTCATTTCACAGACCACGTATTTTGTAGGAATTCTCCCTTGAGCTCATCGCCAAGTGGCAGAGCAGGACATCAGAGGGATTCTTTAAAAAAAAAAATGAAGTGAGCGTTTTAAGAACTTGTCGCTCGGATAAAATAAACAAGTGTGCAAAAAACAGTGTGGGCCACTGTCTGCTTTCTTATGCAGAGATACAAATTCAGATTCATTCCCAGTGTCCTCAGTGACATTGTTGCAGTCTCTCCTGAAGGAAAAGGAGGTGAGATGCTTTGTTAAAAATTCTAATGTTGTAGATAACTTCATGTGTTGAAGTGCTATGTGTTATTTAGATGGTTCCTAATGATTCTGGCAATGCTGCCGGGCTTGGGAGTCCTTATCTCTTGCAGGGAGACAATTGGACACAACATCCCCTGTGTGGGTACCAGAATCGTGCAATACGTAGACCATCAGCAACAGCAAAAAAGAAGTTGGAGCAGCCTATTAAGTTTATCTACTGCCTTCAGCTCACTGAACCACATGTAGTGGTAATTTTCCAGGTTTAATTAGCCTTCAGTCCTTTGGGATGCTATCTGTGGGAGCTGCCACTCTTAAATAATTAACATTCGTCCAGGACTAATGAGCCTCGTATTTCATTCATCCTCTAAAGTGTTTTCTTTTCCACAAGTTGCACCGCGGGAGAGTGCTCCTCTATCTCTGTGGTCCATCTTGAAGTGTTGTTCTCTTCCAGAAAGCCGCTCCATGTGGGCTGTGGTGGCAGGCGGTAGTGAGGAGCTCGCAGAGCCTGACTATGCCAGCTTGGAGCTACTTTTCTGTGTTCAACCAGCTGCATCTAAGGAGAAAACAGGGCCAAAAATAAAGAAACGAAAAGAGGTATCTGGATTTCTCACTTTTTGTAGCACCTGTTAAAGTACTTGGAAAAAAAGCTTATCCATTCTTTATTGTTGTCAGTCTTTTATAATAAAGTAGAAAGTTTGGGGTGTTTTGATACCTAGCAGCGAAAACTGCCACAAAAAAACACAGAATAGACAGGTAGAGTATTAAACATGTTAATTTAACTCCACTCAGGGACAGAGCTTAGACCGACAAAGGGAGAATGTGGGAATTTCTGTGCTAATTCTCATGAATTGGAATATTCTAGACAAATCAAATCCATTTTCTATGCCTTTGTTTCTCTCTCTCTTCCTGAAACAGATCTACTGACATATACTTTTGTAAATTGCTCCAAGTTTGAGCTGTGAATAGTGTTAATAATGTTATTACTGAAAAAATATTGATCTGGCCAATAAATACACAAAAGCTCTCAGGGTTCTGTTAAAATCCAGGCAGAGGTACTTCTAGCTGATTGCTTTTTTTTTTTCTTATCTTTTTTCCTTTTGACAGATCACATTCATAGGTCTAAAGAAAAGTCTTCTTCTGAATATATGTCTGAAGCAATTTAAGTGGTAAGTTTTGGAGAGTAGCATCTGATTCAGCATATCAGCTGAATGAGCGCAGACACATCAAGTAAAAACATGAAATAAATTCAGCAGACATTTTACAACTGCTATCTGTCTTTAGCAGGGAGTCAACTTTTTTTAACTACTAAGATATAGCAGTGTCAAGCTCTTTCCAGTGAATTAATACCATATTGGAAACAGTTACTAAACCTAAAATGGAAAAACACTAATTCCTAAAGAGGCAATATTTATAAAAAACAACAAAACCATGTAGAAAAATATTTCTCTTGGGTCTTATTGACATAAATATCAATTGCATGCAGGAAGCATTATTAAAGATTCCTAATGGGAAAATCCAAGTTACTTTTGTAATTAGTTAATTTTAAAGATACATCTCCAGGAGTTCAAATTGTATACAGTTTTTATTCACAGATTGTCTATAAAGAGGGTATAGTTTACATAATTAAACAAAGGGAAATCCACCAAATCACAGCCCCCATAGGGGGAAAAAAAAAAAAAAAAGCAAAAGAAGGGAATCCGTAGTAGTTCTTGGCAAAATATCTTCTTTGACAATCCCTGGAACTACTGCAGTCTGAACATGGGTTTTCTGCTCTCTCCCTGCTGTCTGTGCAATATGCCAAGTTATAAGGGCTTCAAAAAATAAAACTCAGTCTAGAGATTCTTCTGTTTTAAGAATAAATCAGAATCAGCCTGAAGGTTTTTTCCTTTTCCCCCTCTTTTGCCATTGCAAGCTCTGCTTTAGGTTGTAGAATAGCTCTGCGTATCCTGGATGCTATTTTTTCCCTCTGCATGATTCACTGGGCAGCAGCCAGAAACTGTGGGATCAAGCAGTTGAGTCCTGCTTCCCTTTTCACATGATGAGACTGCTCTGTCCCAAGCTGCCTCCTCTATTAGCACTGGTGGCTGCAGGGAGCTGATGTTTCCAGAGCCTAAACCAGAGCAGTTTGGATTCATTTCAAAGACATGTTGTCTGCCAGAGTTTTAGGCGAGGATTTCGGGTAAAACTTTCTGAGATTTTTCTAAATGTCTCTCAGCAGGAGGAGAGCCATTAGTTTTAGCCTTGACTTTGCTGAAAACAGTATAGAAATTCAGGAGTAAATCTCTCCTCAGGGCCACTGGATGCCTGTACTAAAAGGGAAGGCGCCTGGATTTGTTGTATAAAGATGAATAAAACTCTGAAAGCACATCCAAATTATTATAAAAGTTGCTTTAGGCTTTCAAAAAACTCTACTTTTTCATTCCACTGTGCTTCTGAGGAGTGAGATCCTAAAAGCACTGGGAGGCAAGTGTAGTGTGAATAATGTCCTTTATTCCTATAGTGGTAGCTGGGGGACTGTGCTCTCTTACCTTTGTCAGGTTACCTCTCCTTACGCTGCAGCTTCTTGGCATCTCTCTCTTTCCTACAGCTCCAATGAAGAGATTGCTGACAGGATTCAGAAAGGGGATGGGTCCAAGTTTGATGCTGAGATACTAAAGCAGCTACTTAAACTGCTGCCAGAAGACCATGAGGTATCTATTATGCATGCTGATTCTGCTGGACCTAGAGTGTGCCTGGTGCTCAGCTTCAAATACTGGCATTGCTAGGGCAAGACACTGTGACTAGATCCCACATACCTGTGCACAATCTTAGTCAACAGCCTCCTAGGATAGAGTGGGCTCTCTATCTCTAGAGTAGGAAATCTTCCCCAGCAAAAATCCAGCCTCATGACACAAAGATTAGGCAACAGCACACTTGTGAGACTTAACAAGAGGCTGAGTTCTGCTTTTCATTCCCATTATTTTAACTAAATGGATGCAGTATACTAGCGTTTGTGAAGATGGGTGAATCTTTCAGCCCAGGTTTCAGTTAGAAATGCTGGGACCCATCTTTCTAAAAGGGTTGCCTGACTTGGATGCACCATAGCATGCTGAAGTCCTGCCTATGGATCAGGGATTTATCATGCAAGATGCTGTACAAACGCAGATGACCTTCCAGTTGAAGTAAAACTTAAAACGTTTGCTCTTGCAAACCAGTTCATTCGCACAATTTATGGCTCATCTGCCTCAATCCCATTGCCTGTGCACACAGCAAGTTCAAAAAAGCTGATTTCATCTCTGTAAGAAGCAACAAGGGCACCAGAAATATTTGTACAGGGATTTTACTGTTTTATCCCTTATTAGATAAATAGCCTGAAATCTTGCAAAGAAGAAAAATCAGAACTAGCAAATACAGATCAATTTTATCTCCATCTCCTGGAAGTTCCTAGGTAAGTGACATTTTCTTCAACCTCTAACTATGAGCACATGTTTCTTATAGATGTTATCCGTAAGAATTAAGCCCTCTGTTTCCTGTACTAGAAAGATGTCCCTAACATTCAGTTCTCAGGATAAGTCACGTGATTGCTGTTTGTAGAGCTCTCAACCCTCTGCTGATGGTTGAGAAACCTTTCTTTACCAAAGGCCAGACAGGCTTTCAGATACTTTTGGCAAGCCACTGTTAAATCCATCTAGGTGTAAGTAAGTTGTAGTGAGAAAACTGTTGACTGTTGTGCACTTAGTATCTGTATGGCATGAACTTGCAGACTGAATCCTGCCGCCAGGCTGCCAATTCTCTTCATTCCTGTTTTAGAGATTTCAGGCTGCAAAAGAGAGCCCACAAACCCCCGAGTGAATTACATTAGGGCCTGCATTCTGGCTACCTCCCGAATTTCTACCGAGCCAGATGAGGCATACAGAAAGAAATCTTTGTGTTCTTCAGAAGAACATGGTGTTATGTTGTAAATCATAGGAATAGTTCACAAGAAATCTGATCATTTGCCTATTCTGCAGCCAGAGACACTTTTCTGAAAGCACATAAAATGTGGTGGAGAAAATGCGCCTTTTAATTTGCTCAAAGTTATAACTAGCTTTAAAAACACTTTATAAAATGTTCTCACGGCTCTTCTACAACATTGATCCATGATAAGGATCCATAATGATACTATTAAAAGGCATCATTGCAAAATAGTCTGAATTTCTATCTTAGACGTTAAAAGGAAGAACAACAATCCTGTCTTGCACTGCCCAGGAACTGTCAAAAATTATTGCCTCGTTATGCAAGGAAGTCACTGCCAGATTTGATTGCAACATCGCTTCCTGAAAGAGGAGACTATAATTGTTTCTAAGACATCTTTGGAAATGTCTAAGGGTTTGATTTATTTATAATCCAGTTCAGTGAGAACTATCACATGTCAGAGAGCATTAAAGAGAACATAACAATGCTGGTGCTGCTCTTTGCCTAAAATGGGTAATTCTCTCACTGGACATGAGTCAATTAATCAGGCTAGTGTTTATTTTTTTCTTACTGACTTCTTTTAGCTACCAGTTGCGGATTGAATGTATGCTGATTTGTGAGGAAACAAAAATTCTGCTGGATAGTCTGTGGCCAAAAGCACAAGTAATCAGGAGAGCCTGTGAAAGTAAGTACATCAGTGATGAGTCTACGCTTAGTGCTCAGCCATGGGAAACTTCTGTCTAAATAGAATCAATCATCATATATTCTATAATCAAAATTAACCTCTTAATTGCTGAATATGCAGCGGACATCAAAATCCTGGCTACAGATTCTGCTTCTGGAGTTCATTCTGCAGAACTGCAGTTTGTGTTATTCCGCTCTGAAGCGGAGCTTTTATCAAGCTAAATAAAGCATACGTGTCGGCTGACTCCTACCAGCAGTCCTCTGCACAGAAGAGGGAAATTTTCTATATATCAGTTCCAGATTTTGTTTGAATATAAGTTGAATTCTTCTGTGCAGCAGAGATTTTTGTCCATAATAACGAATCTGTTTCAGCTCTTCCTCTAGTCCATGCTGATTTTAGCCCAGGTTAGCTCTGTGATGGAGCAGGCCTGAGTGACATCATGGAATCTGTTCTGCCTTAAAAACAGATATCCCTGCTAATATGCATCAGAATTTCATAAACTCCTTCCACACAAAATTAGCCACAGTTTTAGTTCTAACTCATTTCTTTCTTAAACTAGGTCTTGAGTTGTCAATTCAGTTCAATGCCTTTGGGCAGTCATTGACCTCCTATTGACCAGTTCAACTGCAACACTTTTGTGTATGTTTGCATATTAAATTTGACTATACCTGCTTATTTGACGTCAATGCCATAGTTACTCCTGACTCTGTGTCCCAATCAACAGCTTTCTGTGGTGTCATTTGGTCCTCAGCAGCGTGGGCCAGCATTTCAGTGAGAATTCTTTCTAGCTCTGCCAAAAATTTTGTTCATATTCCAGTTTCTGCTGTCAAAATGCACGGCTTCTCATTATCATTCTCATGAATGATGATTACGAGGCAAAAGGACCTTCAGTTTTTTTAACCTGTAATAATATATGCTGAGAACAGTGGCTATTGACTTTCTCAAATTTAAATACTTTCCCGTGTGTAGTTCTCCCTCATGAGTGGTTGCAGTAATGACGTGCGTACTTTAAACTTGATAGGAAAACCAGTTTTCTGTATAGTTTAGCGAAGAGACTCCAAGAGAAACTTATTAATTACACTTCCATTCATCTGACTTATTTCTGTTCATGCTCTGCATGAACCATCTTTTGCTGGTATATTTCCAAATTCATAATAGTACTGGCTTTACATAATCTTGGATGAGAATTTTTTTTTACCACTGCTGTTAAACCTAAGGAACATCCTATTTCAGAACACTTAATTTAATTTACTGAAACGTCTCTTTTTTTTCTTCAGCCCTTCTTACTAGCCACCGACTGCCAATTTTCTGTCAGTTGATTCTAAAAGTTGGGAACTTTCTGAACTATGTAAGTAAAATGATTTTTTAAATTGATATATTTCTGAAGATAGCAGAAAATACAAATGCAAAACTTGGAAACTGAAGCAAAGAACTTTTTTTCTGTATCCTCCAGGGGCATCACACTGGAGATGCTGGAGGTTTTAAAATTAGTGCCTTGCTCAGACTAACAGAAACAAAGGCAAACCAAAGCCATGTTACTCTGCTTCACCATATTTTGGAGGTATGACACAGCCGTGAAGTTAGTCTTGCGTGCCTTGGCCTCAAACATACATTCCGCTGAAACGAGTGTCCTTCAGCTTCAGTAGCATGTCGCCATAGATATCTGGCGAGCAAGCCTCCATGCCTACAAAGACAGTGAGAACTTTGCCACTGCTTCCTGGGCAGAAAGGATCAAACCCATAGGAAGCCAAATGTTTAGATAGTTAATACTAAGTTTCCTTTTTCAGGGTTGCCCAAGTTGTTTGCTTGCTGCTAAAGGCTAAACTTACCCCAGTGCTCATAAGAAGGAAAACTGAAGTGTTAATTTTTTTGTCCTGCTATTGTCCTTCTGAGAAACTTCCATACTTTTTCACTGCTTGTGCAAGGTAACCGCTTTTTCACTTGAATTTTAGGAGGTTGAAAAAAACCACACAGATCTGCTGCAGCTTCCCAGTGATCTCGTCCTTGTTTCCAAGGCAGCAGGGTAGGCCATTATTGTTTGTTTTTGTCATGTATCAGTTGCCAATCTCCTTAGAACCAAGGAGCTGAGTCATTTTATGGTGGCATAATAAGGTCACAGGACTTCTCTGCTGTGTGAGAGATGTTGTCTTCCAAGACCACGTGGCTGTGAGATTTACAAATCAATTTGGTTAAAGTCTCTCATGTGTAGCTCAGTGGCATTTCCCCCTCTTTACAAGGAGTTAACTCCTTCATTTCCAAGGACCAGATTCTCCTGCCACAGGTTGCAATAGGAACAGCATCTTCCCTTCAATTTCTCAGTCCTATCTGTGAGCAAGCCCATCAGGAGGCACATGGGCAGAGCTGTTCTGAAGAGGGAACAACTGCGATAATTTACTAGCAGTCAAGGGACCTCATGAGCCCATGAGTTAAGTATCAGTACAACAGATATGTGGGTGGAAAGAAAAAGCCTGTTCCTGCAGGCTTCCTTCCATGTGCCTGAAAGCCTCATGAATCCAACATCAACTCATTCCAGTTAGCTCAAAAAAATTACATCGGGATATGCTAAATTACACCAATTAGGAACCCAAACTTATAGCTCAGGATTAGCATTTTTTTTTTTAATTCTTTGGAACCTTGCAATATTTTAATGGTCCTTGTAACTAGAAGCTGGGGTAAACTGCAAATCTGGAGATGTATTGACATTTTTGAGCAGCTGCTTAAAATTAACTAAATGTAAAAAGTATGTTGATTCAGTAATGCAACAGAAAGCATTATGGCTTTCGCAAGTTATCTGTGCAGAATTTAAGCTGGATGATGTGTTGAAAGCTGAATTTCTCTCTGGGTTCATGTAATAGTAGAAATACTTTTGTCTGAATCTAAATCTTCCTAGTTGATAATATAAATGTACTCTTTTTTTCATAAAGTAATTGCCCTCTAGCTTGGTCAAACCCTCAAACTTACAAAATTGTTTTGCTAATCAGCCTTAGGAGAGCTATTTACAATGCAAATCCTGCAAGGGACCCTTTTAATGCTGCTCACATCCGGAGGCACCATAAAACACCAAGTCATGTATTGCTGATCCACTACATTTTGTCTGGATTTGTGTCTCTGCAAAGAGGCTGTCAGAACAATAAAATGTGTTGGTTATGCAGCATACATGTTTGGGCCTCCGTGTGAGCTGAATGAAGTTCGAGAAGAGATACAATTTCTGACTATAAATAGATCTGGGAGGAAAACAGCAAGGAGGGAAAAGAACTATTTAAGTAAAGACAGTATTGACACAAGAGAGATGAGTATTAATTGCCTGTGCATAAAAATATGCTGGAATCTTGGAGAAGGTTTATAAACGCTAGACCAGTGAGATTCTTTCGCAGTCTATTCGTGGAGGCAGTGGGGACTTGGTGTGAGGAAAAAAAATAGCCAAACAATGGGAGTATCTTTCTCAGATGAAGTCTGAGCAGCTTAAAAAAGGGTTAATGTGGAGGAGAGTTACTTGCAAAAGCAGGGTCTGGACTAGGCACCTATTCCTATATTCATTTGCAGAGATAATGTTGTTTATAATCTTTTAAGTTAAAGAAAACAAAAGACTTGCTGCTTTAATTTACTTTCCCTTTTGTGGACCTTTCAGAATCCACTTTGAAGTTATGCAGGCTGAAGTAGGTGCCAATGTGAAGAAATTGTTGGAAATAGAGAAGAGTTTACTTTTGTCAACAGATGATTTAAAAATACAGCATGGAAAATCTGTTCAAGTAGGTAAAGCGGGTGTGACACAATTCCCGTTCTTTTTCTCAAACTCTTTAAATCTCTCTCCTCAAAGGCACTGCAATTGCAGGTTGCAGATGAACACAGAGCTCTGGAGGAAGCGGGTCATAACCCCACTCCCTCTGCACCTCTGTGGAAGAAGCGCCCCAGTTTTTTTTTCCACGCCTGTAAAGTGGTATGGTGAAAAGGAAACAGATGAGAATCAGTCAGCTCTCTGTGTGGGCAAAGAAAGGAAGGCCTTAAAAATGAAATGTAGGATGCAACTATAAATGGGTATCGTGCAGTACAGTAACATGTTTTGACTCACTGTTCCTTGGGGAAAGAAAAAAAAAGAAGTGAACAGATTTACAGTTTGAATTCTCTGCATATATTTCCGAATATCCTTTAGATTCTAGCTTTTCACGTTGTCCAAACAGAGTCATGTGACTAAAGATAAACGGAGCTAATCCTGGTGCCATGAATCTCTTGATCAGTCATCTCAGGCTGAGTGAAATTTCCACCTGGTTGTGTGATGAAAGCGGCAACACAATATGAGATGTTCTGGGGCCAAACCAAAGGGGTGGGAAATGCAAACAATTCAATTAAGAAGAAAGTATTGTACATTGTGAACTAATTTTTAATGTTAGTTTTTTAAAAAAGGATTGCTCCGTGTTAACTAGCTTGAGCCTTCTGGGCAGCTCAGAATATGTTAGTTCTTAATGTGCGTAAATTGTGTTGTAAACTGTGTCTCAGGGCAGTATTAGCGCTTCAAAGGACCTACAGAAGGAGTTTGCCAACATTGAGAAGAAGAAGGAAGAACTCGCTGATTATCTGTGTGAAGACCGAAAAAAACTGTCACTGGAAGATCTATTTATCACAATGAAAACCTTCAGGGAGCTCTTCCTCAAGGCCTTACAGGTGGTTTGCATTTGTGACTGTTTAGCAATACAATGAGATTGCCTTTTTCTTAACACGCAAGAATGTCTCTTCTTTTATTCCAGGTATAGGAATAGGGCTACCTAAACCCTGGGTCCAGGAGTAAATGGAAGTGGTTACTTATTTGCTTGCATTCAACAGCAAGAAATAAGCATATGGGTAAATTCAAAATGTACTCTTATTTATTTATTTTTTTGGCTACAGAGAATTAAGAACTCTCCAAGAAGTTGGTCCCACTGTAAAATCACTAATCAGGTCTCAATGGAATAGAAGCTAGTGGTGTGTAAAAGAATGAGCAGCCTAACAGTCTTTATAGAAAGAGTGAAGGTCTTGCAATAGGCAAAGCCTGATCTGAAGATACCTTTACATGTGGGCATTTCATTGCACTAGTTAGTTCAAGTCAGCATGTTTTGTGTCCCCTACAAAACTACTTCCCGAAAGATGATTTTAGTCCCTTTAGGGTCTCATGAAGTAACACTGCTTGCAATAAGGATTAAGAAAAGAGCAGCTTGCCCATATAGGTTGTGTAGACTAGCTCCTCCTAATTCCTAAACCTACAGTAATCCTCCAGTTAATATCCCCTACTGCATACTTCATGCCTGAAGTAATGCACTTTCTCTAGCATTCTCTTAATGCCAGGTAGTAGTGGCTTCATACGTTTCTTTCAAAGCAACAACAATCTATTCCTGTGCTGACTCCTGCAGAGCCCAAGATGGGACTTGCCTTCTACAGAGGGAATCATTTCCAGTCATGTTATGATAAGTATTGCATGTTATGATAAGTATTGCATATCAATGTCAAGGCAAGGGAGGGTGATGGGTGTATTAGGACAGATCATAGTTTCAAATCAAAACAAAAAAGCTTCTGTGGAAGCATCTGAAGAGAAAAGATGAAAAAGATATCCTGTAGTATTCCCACTACCTGGTCCTCCTATGAGATATGTGGGTTGCAATTTTGCAAGCAATATGGATACCCAAGCACAGAAATGATGGGATACTGTCAGAGACAAGAAAAAAGAAATATGACAAACCACAGATCCTTTGACAATACATTTGACCCTAAAGTTCCTGAAAATCCAGGCAGAAGTGAAGGACTGAGAGAGCCAGGAACATCACGGCTCAAGATCTGTGCAGAGCCACACTGGAAAACTGATGTGAAGGGTAACTCTGGCAACCAAAGTTCTTTGAAAGAAGCAGTCCCAATAAAGGTTATGTAGTGTGTCCCAATACAGCTGCAGAAGGAGATCTGAACTACTCTTGGGGGTACTAGTTGCTCACAGCCAAGTTGGAGCAACTGGAAAGAAGCTGCTTTTCCTCTACCCAACATGTAAACTCCTTTTCATCCTATTTTGGTTTAATTTCTCAGCAGCACTTCACCTCAGAAATACCACAGCTGTTAACCATTTTGTCTGCCTGTTAACTTCATTACATTCCTATATATTTCTTTCCCATCTTTCCCTGCTTTCTGTCACTGTAGTAAAGATGTTGTATATGCTCAAAACAGCAACAGGCCAAAAAGTTTAAGCTTTCCATTTTTAAAACATTTTTATTACTCTATTGTTTAGATTCTACGCTAGAATCAGACACTTGCATCACCTCTTCCTAGTGTCATTTGGCTTTAGAGGCTAAGCTATGGCTAAGACGCTGCTTTTATTTTAAGATGAGTGCTCTGTGTAAAGTAGGTCTGTTGGCACTACCAAAATAGTTAGTGTTGTCCTTCCACTCTCACATTAAGTCAGCAAGGAAATTATTTTGATAAATTGTGGTGCTTCATGTTGCCAGGTTTTCCCAAAGAAATTTTGAATTACTTCCTTCCCCGCCCCCCCCCCCCCCCCCCTCCTTCGGCTATTGAAGACTGACCTACACAAATGAAACTGTTAATGTGCACCCTGCATTCCTCCCCATCTATTTTATGAGAAAAAAAAGTCCTTTTAACACCCTAGGGACCCCTCCCTCAACTGAAATAGTGAAAAGGAGCTCGTCTTTACCCAGGGCTGTATGTTTTCCCACTTATCAAAAGAATTAAAGGAGCAGATGGCAGGAGGAAGGAGATGGGGAGAAAATAGCTTCCCAGCTTAAAGATAACAGTACAGACCTGGAGATGCACTGAGTTCTAAAACTGTGTGGAAAAGAAACTGTGGACGGGGAGAAACATTTGACTTTCCTTTAGCAGGTGCAGCTATTCAAAGAGGGGAGCTCCCTATAAAGAGGCAGTCTAGTCTCAGAAAAAGGAAAAAAGATTGCTAAACAAAATCTGCTCTAGGAAGTACTCAGCTCTTCACAAAGTCATACAGCCAGGTCTGTGAAGGGGTAGTTCCCTGGTGTGCTCCCTTGGATAACTGAGCTGGAGCACCAGCTCCTCAGTAGAGTGTTGGAATGGGACATTTAGATAGCGTGGGAGTAAAAAGTTGTCATGGAGCATCTTTTAATTCAAAGATCAAGCAAGTATCTAACGTCCTACAGAATGCAAAATGCAATTCCAAAATGACACCTCTATTTCATTTAGTCTAATTCTTACAGCTACCTTTAGTAACCCTAGACATGGAAAAGGGCTTGTGAACAGTAATTCCGCTGCCTTGCTCCCACTCTGCCTTAGTGGGCTTTCTTGTGTTGAAGAAACTCTGTTAGCATTGTGCTTGTGTCAAACCACTAACTGCTATTTTTATTTTTTCTCTCTCTCTGAACAATTCAGTTTAAGCTTGCTCAGTCCATAGATTTACTCCTAATGGGTTTTGGTTTGTTTTCATTACAGGGCGTTCTGCTCAAGCAGCAGAACAAAGCATCCCTGAATTCACCTCCTATATTTCTTGAGCAACGTTACATAGAGACGTTCTCTGAGGACCTGCAGTTTTGAAAGTCTCTCAGCATCCATATCTCAATTATGCTAAAACACAGCAGGGATTTATCAGGCAAGCACATAGGAGGCATTCAGTGATGAAAGGCTTTTAGCCTCTTCAAAGGACTTCACCACCTGAATCTCATTCTTTCAGAAGCACTCTTTGTTCAGGGCAGATGAATTCTTTTCTTTCGTTGTCAGGGATAATGCACCATTTTTCTCTCTTTCTCCAGGCATCCAGTGAAAGTCCCCATAACCTGGAGCCCATAGTACTCCTATAATTCTGAGACTCTAATTGTATTTATGTTCACAAGTTTGCTTTATTGATCTGGAAGTCTTTCTGAGGACGAAAAGATCCTACGCTTTTATAGTCTGTAAAGCTCTAAGAAATCCATGCATGCTTCCTGGGACTTTGTCAGCCTATCTCATGGAAATAGTGGAAGATGATCCATGGCAATCAACTAAATCTATTAGTTCTTTGCTGCTGCTAAAATCTGCAAAGACGACATGACGTGTCTTGTGAAGAAACCTCTTTGCATCAAATCATCAACATCCTCCTGGATATTGTTAAATTTTATATGACACAGCAGCACCCTGCTCATAACATCATAAAACTCTATGGCAAGAGGCCTAATAACTGATCTTCCTACAACCCACAGTTCAGTGGCTGCCTGATGCAGTTAGAAGCAGGCAGACTTCCAGGTGGTGACAGCAACGTTCTGTTGATGACTGTAGCTCTGGAACAAGGATTGCATAAGCTTTTAAGAAAATGGCATTTGTCATCTTGACGTTCTGCTGCTGTTAGCCTAGCTATTCAGAATTACCATCTCCTACGACTGTGCTACTTGTCCAAACACAGAAATACTCCTCCATTGAGTATAGGTCTTCCTTTACTGAGTTTTAGTTCAATTTCTTTCTCTTCTTCCATTATTTTATAGCATCCCAATATCAACAGGTCTAATGAAAACAGAGTCCCATCTGACTGCAAGGTCCCATTAGGACTTATGCCATCTTGATAGCTGTATGATTGGTACCAACAGACATGCAGTTTGGACTCTGCTGCTGAACACCAGTGCAGAAACACAGCTGGCAAATTTAATGGGTGCCTGAAGAGGAATTGTGAATTGTTTTTAAAAATAGTGACGAGTTCCGGAAGTTTCTGGTAGAAATCAGAATACTCAGAAACTGAAAATCAGAACTTCAGAAATTCAGAAGTTTCTGAATACAAATCAGATAAAATCGAAGTTGCTGTGCAATAAATATCTAGAATGCTAATTAAGTTAAACTAATGCTGTGTTTTGTGGTCACAGGGATTAATTAAGAATGTATTTCAATCCACAGTTGAATCCTTACAGTTAAAGCTAATGAACTAATTTGCTGGTAACATCATCACGTGGAGCAGGCCGAAGGCATTCATCAGGAAGCTCTATTCTGGCTTTTGCCCTCAAACTCCTGCAGCTGAAAAATATCATTGCAAGGGTATATAAGGCACATTTAGAAGAGTTACTCATTGCAAACTGAGAGTGCTTTAACCAGCTTTTTCTTCAGTAGCTCTTTTTATTTAACTTTCTATTTGTCGTTCTGTTTGAATGCAGGAAAATCAAGAAAGGAAAGAACAAGCTGCAAAGTCTGAGAAAAGGAAGAAACAACTTAAAGGTGAAGAAGCAAAGAGACTAAAGGGAGAGTATGGAAATACCAGTGTGTTTAACAAAAACTGATTCTGGATTTATAGCCAGTCTTTTGTTAATCAGGAAGAACGTATCTGTTTAGCTATGGATGATGTTACACAATGAGAATGATTTAGCAGTGGTTGGCGTAGCTGTCAAGCAGATAGTGATAGTAGGTCATCAATTTTCAAGTTCATGTGAATGTTCAGAAGAGATCATGATTGGGATATTAGAAAAAATATCACTCCGAAAGAGTAAGTTACTAGCATTTTGCTTAGAAGTGGGTGATATCCTGCTATTGCTCTGAATAGCTGTTCATAGGTTTTTAGGGATGTAGAAAGGTTCCACGCTTTTGAACTTCAAGCTGTCTTGTGGCACTGTGGTAGGCAAGTTGAGTCACATGTTACTGTTACCACAACGTTTTGTTCTTTTCTGATTAGAGTTCTAATTCCTTAAAGCAGTCATGTGTGCGCTTAAATGAGAGTCTGTGCTCTGCTGAAGAATGACAGACTGAGATAAATGCACAAAAGCTTTTATATGCTAGGCTTAGCTGGATGTGAAGCATTTCTAGCGTTAACATTTGCATGTGTACATTTTGGAGTTCCACTCTGGCAAATACCTGACACTTTTCATGAAGATTTGTGTCAGTAACATTTAGTTATAGTTCTTGATTCTTCAGAGAACAATTGCAAAAAAGCCATTAAGTAAATATGAGTGGAGTTCATGCAAATATTACATTGGTTGCTCACTCCTTAGAGGCTTGTGCTTGTTTTTCATTGTCACTGTTGTCTAATTAAATGGTCTTCTTTTAGCCTCTGCTTCACAGTTACTGGTCTTTAGAAATGTGTTTTTAAATATATATAAATATACTGAAAACTGACCAACACAACGTTTCCAATACTGCTGGGCAGTCTGTACTGTGAATATGTTTTACCTAGTTTGCAATTATAACATGCTTAATGTAAAGCTGCAAATTAATTAAAACAATAAACACTTTTGCTGTAAACACAGAGAATAACTTAGTGTACAGTAAAATAAAGTTATAAAGCAATGTTCAGCAGATATAAGGATTAAAGGCGTTTCAACCCCGTGAAAAGAAAGCACCAGACAATAATAACCTTCTGCATTTCCAGCACTCAGTTTTGAAGGGAGAAAAGCAATTTTTTTTTGTTTTCTGAGGAGGTGGTTTTAATTCTTGGAGTATAAACTTAAAACATGAGAGAGAGAATTTAGACTCGGGTTTATTTTTCCATACTTAGTTTAGAAAACTGTGGCTAGTTATTGTGCTAGTGACATGAAAATCAGGCATGTAATCTATGTATTTTTATCTGCATCAGGATATGGTGACAGAAGCTATAGAGAATATCAGGTCTGACCTAACATGAGGTTGGAACTCATCTTTATTTTTAAGATTTTTCAATCTATGTATAAAATAGAGATTTTTTTTTTTTTGGGGGGGGGGGAATATATTTAGCAAACTAAGTAAATTCTTATTTATTTTCTGAAGGAGGTAAGGAAAAGAGTAAATTTGGTGAGACCCTAATCGCATGCGCTTGCAGGATTATCACAGCCTGGTTCCACAAAGAATTACACATTTAACTTTTTAGGTATCTCCCTTAAAGTTAGTGATATATAGCACACAGGTGATCTTGTGCATAAATTTTTAATTATGCAATTATGCAATCCTATAGTCTTTGAATCTCTGACCTTAACTCTAGTCACAAGTTCTCTTACTGTCAATGTCTGGTTTTCCCAGTTGCCTGAGGATCATTTCTCTGCAGCTGACAGATATGCCACAAACAGTACACAGCAGCAAAGTCTCTTAGTACAGGCAATAATCTCACTCTCCCTAGTGAAAAGAAGATGTGAAAGTAGAAGTACATATAACTATTAATTGATTAAAAGGAAAAGCTTGCAGCTACTGAAAACTACTAAGAACCAGGCATGATTAGAAAGTGTTACCGAAACGTAAATGTCCATCACGATTAAGAGGACAGATCAATATACTACTTGACTGCATGTATTAAACAGCTTTCCTGTGAGTGAAGTTTAATTCAAGGTAGGATTTCCAAAAAAGTTTGATGCCAGGCTCCTGCTGATTCCAGGGGCTTAGATATCCAGCTGTTTCTGAACTCCTTTGAACATAAGTGGTTGCATATATCACAGAATCGTTTAGGTTGGTAGGGACCTCTGGAGATCACCTAGTCCAACCCCCTTGCTCAAGCAGAATTATCTAGAGCGCATTGCATAGGATCGCGTCCAGACGGGTTTTGAATATCTCCAGGGAAGGAGACTCCACTGCCTCTCTGGGCAACCTGTTCCACTGCTCTGTCACCCTCACAGTCAAGAAGTTTTTTCTCAGGTTTAGGTGGAACTTCCTGTGGTTCAGTTTCTGCCCGTTGCCTCTTGTCCTGTTGCTGGGCACCACGGAGAAGAGGCTGGCCTCATCATCTTGACATATATCTTTACATTGAGATTTTTTTCATGCTTTGTAATGGATTAAACAACTATCCTGCTTTATTTTCTTCAGCTTCTGTTGTAGCAGTTTTTATTACAGGGCAGACAAATTCTTGAAGAGAATTGTATCAGCTGCAAAGACCTATTGTATGTGTTATTTCAGGAGATGATTAAAGTATTTGGCTTTCTTTAACCAAGTGGAAAAAAATGATCTTATTCTAATGCAAATTTGGACGTGTAGCTGATGACCAGAGTGAGCAATAAAACAAAAACTCCTAAGAATAAAATGTGAAAATGTGCACAGAAGGCAGTGTTAAATATCTGGTGAGAATGTATCTATTGCAAATACTGTTAACTGTAGTAGAAAATAAAACGCTATTAAAAGATGAAGAGCAAGTAAATTTTCACTAACACTACAGAAGTTCCACAATATAACTGCCACCTTTACATACAGAAACCAACCACAAAAGCAGATCCCCAGACCGGTTTCTTACGCTGATTTATTCAGGGTTAAATACAAGAGCTTTTCTTTGGCAAAATTCTGTCTATATTTACGCAGGACTAAATCATCTGGCTGTAAGTAACAAACTGATAGATGATGAAATGTCATCAGCATACATTCATCTTGCAATAGTGAAAGTCTTCAAGAGCAGCCTGTTAAAGAGAAAATTCCTTAGTTCAATGAGGAAATAAGAAGCAATTGTTTTTTTGCTAAGAGGTTACTGGGCTACTGCCGTATTGCTTAGCTTTGGTTTGCTTTTTTAAAGTATGTAATAATGGTTAAAAACTGTATAATATAGACAAGTACAACTTCTAATGTAGGATTTACTTAGTATTATATGAAACTTCAAATAGAAGCTTGAGTGTTGTTAATGAAGTACTGCTTAAAATAGGAACACGTTGTATTTGAACTCCAATATGTTTTTTGGTTTTGAACTTATTCATCTTAGTAAACAGAGCTAAACAAATGTGCCTGAATCTGTAAGGCTTATTAGTTGTGTTTTTTAAATCACATACTAACAAGTAAGATCCCAAGTGACTGCTCCTACTGTGCTGATTCTGAATACGTTCTTGATTTTTAGCAGCCTTGCTTTCAGGTATAACTGTAAGGACAGACTAGCTGGGATAAATAGCATGTGCCCATCCAAAAAAATGTAAGAACTTACAGAATTAGGTGGCAGTTGATCAGCTTTATAAGTGTTACCTAAGTATTAGAGCTGGAGATCTAAACAGGTACTTTTTGAGTGTTTAGGTGTAAGTCTTTAGAAAAGACCGACAGCACCGGGAATTACACAGTTAATAAAGCTGTTTTAAGTCAGAGTGGTTAATGTTGAATCACATTTGCCTAATCTGCTCTTAAAACATCCAAGGATACCGAGAGGGATGCCAGCAGCCCCCCCAGACATACTGCTTCTGTGCTAAACTGTAAATAACCTTAGAGGTAGCGTTATAGCAAAGCTGGTCTTATTCACAACTTCTCTTTCAAGCCTGGATAAAGGTCTATATGTCTTAAAGCTTATTCACATGTATCATATCAGTCAGTTAGTCTAATAAAAGATACAACCTTTTTCTCATGGCATCCTGTCCACCATAAATAGAGAAAATACGTTACTCTTTTTTAATTTGCAGCAGCCTTTTACATATTTGGCAGCTGTTATCGCATCACTTTTGGTCATCTTTTTCTAGACTAAACAACCCCAGCCCTTTCAGCGGCTCATCACAGGGCCTGTTTTCCAGACCTGTGTTCATGTACTCTGGCTTTCATCTGGATATTCTCCAATTGGATCTCATCTTCCTCGCAGTGCAGTGCCGAATCTGGATTCTGTACTCCAGCCTAGGGGCTCAGCAGGGATGAGGAGAGTAGAAGGACTCCTTACTGTATTTTATAGGTTACGTTTCATAGGTTGTTTATTCATCTTGGCGTGATGTTTGCCTTCTTTTCCAACCATACAACATTTTGACTCCCGTTCAAGGAATCCCGGCCTCCAGCATGTTTCTTGTCGCTTCCAGCTTTGTGCCATCTGCACGCTCAGTAAGTACACCCTTTGCTGCAGTCTTCTAGTCTTTCATGAAAAGATGTAAGAAATTTTGAACGACTTGGTGGTTTTTTTTCACATGCACCTTGTCCAAATGAATCATTGATTACTACTCTCAGAGTAGAGGTTTTCACATGCTTTTGTATCAATTTTATCAAAGCTGTGAAGAAACTAATCTTTGGTAAAAACATAGTTCTGACAGTACGGTTTTGGTTAATTTATCCTGCAATAAATCTAAAGTGTATTGTTTTGACTGTGGGGTGTATTTAGCTCATATTAGTTGCCCTAAAGTAAAAAGCACTGCATTTTTTTTTTAATTCGAGAAGACACATCTCTGAAAGCTTTTCTGTGAAGTTGCAAAGGATGAGCATTGTCAGGTGGATTATTTTCAATAGAAGAGCTCTGAGGAAGAGGGAGCAGTGGTAAGATACTGACACCAATTACTAAGTGGCTCATTCCCACTCTCGTCAGTACTCAGCACCAGGTGATTCATAGGTGACAGGCAGACTGGATACCTGCAACCTTTCACTCTCCGCATGAGTTCGCTGTTAACCCCATGTATCTGTCAGTTTACAAGTCAAGCGTTTGCTTTTTACTGAGCAAAATCTACCCTGAAGATTTGACTTCTTTCATCTCAAACATTAAAATTGATTTTAATTCATTGATTTCAGTAGAATCGAGTTTGTTTTTAAATTGGGGTATGCAGAAGAATAAAACACACCATCAATTAATTCAGACTATTTTTTTTGCATAGTTACATGTTTTCTACTTTTATACAGAGCTGTGCTTCCTTGGCAGATTAGTTTGCTTTTAAAGTGTTCAGTATTTTTTTCATATGAAACTGGTTATGGAAATGGAAGATTTGATATTGTTGGCACTGGAAAGAAAATCTGCTGGAGTTTCTGAACATCTCAGAAATACAGTGCTGAAGAGAACTGCATAAAATTCTGTGTCATCAGTAAATGTTTATTATTAAATTTGCTAAATCTAAAATAATATAAGAAGGAAAGAAAGGATACTTTAGATTGCTTTTTGTTGATTGAAAGGAGGGAAGTGATAGCTTTCTTTGAACAAAAAAAAGTGTGGAAATGTTCACCCAAGCCAGTCACTTTCAGGATGTGATATGAAAAATATTAATTTGTGACCGGCTGAGAGCCATCAAGAACAAACAGCTGAAAACATTGTAATTTCACGTTAAAAAGGATAGATTCTGCCCTTAAAAAGGGCAATTTACATATAACCATGCCAGGATTGTTTTAAAAAAGGCAGACGGAAATATAACCAAAAAAGTAACATCAAATAAAAGAACAAAAATAAACTTAGTTCAGAAAAAGGTTTGTGTTCTATGCTAATAGACTCTGTGCTAGAGTATGGTAATGAGTGACAAAAGCCATGCAAGAATGGCAATGCTACGTACCATAATAGCTATTTCTTGCAGCAATGGCATTCTCATATTCTAGATGTGTGGAGTTGACTGCAAGCTTTCAGTTTCAGAGGGAATTTTTGTGTGACTGAACTGAGTTAAGAGTATTGCTACATTTTACCATCCTCAATGCTCATGTTTTCAGATTGTAAAGATAAGCATAAATATAGTATCTGACAAATACTTATTCTGCAATGAGATGACACAATTTTTGTTATTTAGTGGACAAAATGATTTTGTCATCAAACAAAACAATTCTAAAAGATTTGATGTAACAGTAAGGAATACTTTAGAGCAAATTTTGAAAGAAAGAATTTAAGTCTGGAGGTGAGCGAACGCTTGAGATGAATAAAGTACACAAGGGCCAAGCAAAAGTAGAAACAGTTTCCTCTGGCACAAGCTTTCTTTGCCAACAATCTAGATAGAGCAAATACCGGAGATATGGACTTGATTAAGACGTTCAATGTTGTACTGAATATGGGTTAGTATAATTACAAAGGGGAGTGAGATATGAGGTAAAGAGAAGTTAAAGTCATTAACACGGATTTCTGTTACATAGCAGGACCTCACTGGCTGTAAATGATTGATGAGTTGACGGACCAGTGCAGAAGTTTATCAGATGAGGTCTTTGAGCTGCCAGCGCATGGCTGTGAAGAGAAATACAGCCAGTGATGGCCTGTTCCCATGTCAGATTGAACAAGGTCGAGCTCAGCTGGTCTGGGAAGCTGGGCCATCCTAAGCTGACCTGTGCTCAGGTGAGAATCCCAAGGAGTTTGGGGTAAAGCCTATGCTTAAGGAGTTGGGGCCAGGTATTTGGTGCATATTAGATCACAGGAACCAAATGTCTTGAAAGACTTCACAGTAAGCCTCTATCCTGACTACTGAAATAATGGCCAGAATAAAAGAAAAGGTTAAAATTCTACAATGCAGAACTCTGAAACCCGAGCCGAAGGCTTGTATTTCAGGCCATGTTAAATCACATGTGGCATCTGGTTTTGAATATATATGTGAAATGCCAAGGAGCTGTGTCTTGCATGTGAAGTGTTAATGGCAGAAAGAGGAAGCAGTATTTCAATGTGTGAGATACCAGCAGTGCGGTAGAAAAGTGTGGGAAAGGAGCTGTCTTTCATCACGTATATAACTTGACAAGCCCAAAAATGTCTTAGGTGAGATATTTCCAGCTGAAAGGAGAATACACTAATTCCAGTGTATAGGGTACTGGGGAACTTTATGTGGAATATGGAGCACAGTTTAGGCCCCTGTACTCAAGAAACATGAACTGAGTTCAGAAGAGGTACAGGAAAGGTGGATGAGAACGAGCAGGGATTTGAGAACCTGTTTTAGAGAAGACTGAAAAAGCTTAACTTGTCCAGACCAGCACAATGAAGTCTGAAACTGGCTTCATTCTGTAAATTCATTCTATAAATACATACATGGGAAAAGCAGAAGAAGTATTTGAAATAAACAGCAATGTCAGCACAGATCATAGGGATAGAAATTGGCCAAAAATACATTTAGGCTGACAATTAGTGGAGGTTTCTAACTAGGACAGGTCCAGGACAGTTATTCAGTAGGAATAATGAGGTGCTACACGATTTAGTTGACTGCAGTTGCAGGGAAAACAAGACTTAAACATCAGGAGCTCCCTTGTGGTCTTCTGATCCATGTTTATCACCTCCACCAATCACTGCCAAATACTCAGCTGGAGTGTACAGTGTTAAATCTTAGCTATCTTCTTTTCCTACAGGAAATACTGCAAATGCTAGAAATCAGTGTTTCTTCTGGTTGCCACCACGCATGCTTACAAGGTGCTGAAGTCTGCGATGTTTCTATACGTGCATATACACAAACTCACCCATGTGTATTTTCATGTATGTGTGTATGCCTGTGTATACGCGTATCAGCACACACACACAGCACACACACATACGTGCTTGAAATGGGCTACACATGCTGTTACGTCATATTTTTGTTTCTCAGATGTGCATACAAGCGTTCCAGTACTTTCCTTTCATCCTTATGCCAAACAAGCAGATTGTATCAGTACTTTTCTGCATTTTAACTCTTGCATCTCCAGTCTATTTCTGTGATCTCATGTATATTATGGTATCATCTCTTCTGAATCACAGTGGAAAATGCAGCGGAAATGCCACAGGGAGAGACATTTGAAAACGCTGCAGGTCTGTCACTTGCTCGTGTTGGAAATCCGATGCATTTGGTGTGATCGGTGCAGGAACGGTGGTCGGTGATTCCTTGTGCCTGAAGCTGTAACGTGGCCTGTCTGCTTGCCTGGACACACTCAGGCAGTCGTGTGTGCTCAAGGCTGATCAGTACTTGGTTTCACCATGTCCAGCACCTACACTCAGCTGATAAAGGACCATGTGCACGAGGCGGCAGTGCAGCCTGTGCTCTGTCCTCTTTGGCAGCAGTGCATTCAATTAGTCTCGACTGGTTGTATTTCTTCCTTACACATTTATACTGACACAGTTGACATGTACATCAATGTCATCTCCTTCTCTGTTGTAGATACCTAATAGAGTAGCAGTCCCTAATCTACAGCTAGTTTGTTTATTTGTCTCACAGTGACAGTCATGTGTTTTTCAGGTCAGCATGTGAGTGTATGTGTGTATCTCATCAAAACACAGTCTCAGGTGTCTCAGGCCACCAGGGCAGGGTATGTGCCTGTTTGGTAACCACAGTCCTATGGATATTTTAGGCTAGCGTGTGTGACTGACAAAGTCAAAGTCACAGTAGATGTTTCTCAGGTCAGGGTGCGTGTGCTTGTGTCTCAGGGCTGCAGTCCCACATATGTTGGAGTAGTCTGTGTGCCCGTCTTTCTCCCACTGATAGTCTTGTGCACTGCACCATACTCTGTGTGTGTGTGCATGTGTCAGGCTACTCTGTGTGTGCAATTTGTGTGTGTGTGCGTGTCTCACAGGGACTGTCCCACACGCCTCAGACCAAGTCCGTCTTGCAGTGACACAGGCCCACGTTCCTCAGACCAGTGTCGGTGTCTGTTTTGCGACGGCACAGTCACACACGCCTCAGGACTGTTTGTGTCTGTCTCACAGTCGCATCGCCCCCACGTGCCTCAGCCCAGCGCTTGTTTGTCCTGCCATGCCACAGACCAGGGCGCCTCAGATATGTTTGTGTCCATGTCATGGTGATGAAGACCTGGGTTCCTCAGAGTAGTGTGTGTCCTCCATGGTGACACAGGCTCAGGTTCCTCCGAGCAGTGTGTGCGGGTCCATCTCACAGTGACACATGGTTATGTTCCTCCAACCACCCTGTGTGTGCACATGTCTCTGTCCGTCTGTCTCACAGTGACACAGTCACACATGCCTCAGCGCTGCCTGTATGTGTGTCACAGTGGTATGGTCATGTGCACCTCAGGACCACGTGTGTCTGCCTCAGTGACACAGCCCTTGTGCCTCAGGCCTGTGTGTGTGTGTGCATCAGTGACGCAGGCCATGTGCCTCCGACCTCTGCGTGTGTGTGTGTGTGTGTGTGTGTGTGCATGTCGCAGTGGCACAACCCTTGTGCCTCAGACCACAGTGTGTCTCAGCGACAAAGTCACACACCTCAGACCAGTGTATGTGCATGCGTGTCTTGCTGTGCCACAGGCCCAAGTGCCTCAGACTTGTATGTCTGTCTCACAGTGACACAGCGGTGTGCGTGTGTGTGTCAGTCACAGCCCATGTGCCTCTGCCTGTCTCTGCAGTGATGCAGCCAGTGTGTGTGACAGTGACACAGCTCATGTGTGTGTGTCCATGTCCTGCAGTGACACAGCCTGTGTATGTGCTTGTGTGTCACAGTGACACAGCCCATGTGCTAGTGACATAGCCCATGTGTGCCTGAGTGTCAGTGACCTGGCCTGTGTCGCAGTGACACAGCCCGTGTGTGTGTGTCAGTGACATAGCCTGTGCGTGTTTCTGTGTATGTCCTGCAGTGACACAGTGACACAGCCCTTGTGTGTGTGTATCCTGTCGTGACATAGTCTGTGTGTGTTTGTGTCTCACAGTGACACAGCCTGTGTGTGTGTATGCCCTGCAGTGACAGTGACTTAGCCTCTGTGTGTGTGTCACAGTGACACAGTGCGTGTGTCTGTGTTACAGTGACACAGCCCATGTGTCTGTGTCAGTGATACAGCCCGTGTGTGTGTCCTGCACTGACACAGCCTGTGTGTCTGTGTGTCTGTGTGTGTCACAGTGACACAGTCCATGTGTCTCTGTGTGTGTGCGCACGCGTGTGTCACAGTGACATTGTGCGTGCGTGCGTGTGTGTGTGTGCATGTCACGGTGACATTGTGCGTGCGTGTGTGTGAGCGTGTGTGTCACAGTGACACAGCCCATGTGTCTCTGTGTGTGTGCACACGTGTGTGTGTGTCACGGTGACACAGCCCGTGTGTGTGCGCGTGCGCTTGTGTGTCACAGTGACAGTGTGTGTGTGCGTGTGTGTCACAGTGACAGCCCGTGTGTGTGTCTGTGTGTGTCTCTGTGTGTGTGCATGCATGTGTGTGTCATGGTGACACTGCGCGCGCGTGTGTGTGCACGTGCACGTGTGTGTCACGGTGACATTGTGTGTGTGTGCGTGTGTCACAGTGACACAGCCCGTGTGTGTGTGTGTGCGCGCGCGCGCGCGTGTAAGAAGTTCTGTCTGGCACTTACTAATGGCAGATTTAACTGACTGATGTTTATCATTACCGCCATTTAATGGAAAACAGGACAGTGCCTAAAAATAGATACAACATTGCTTACTACAGTTTACAGTTTCTGCTCTCCTTTCCTCTTTAGGAGGGGCAGCAGTACTTTTTAACAGCCTTGCCAATTCTGGGAGGCACAGTCCTCCAGAATCCTTCTATCCTCCATTCATCTCCTTTCAAAGCACGAGATACTGAAAGATGCCACCGGTTTGTTTCATGCTATATATGTGATTTTTTTAATACCGAGAACAGCACTAACCGGCAAAGAATGCTAAACTGCAATGAGCTCTCCTACAATACATGCACAGCTACTTATATTTAACAGTTGGCTTGACATTTCATTGCAGTCCTCTAGACTTTAACCAAGTCGCACAGTCCACAATTTCTCTTGAACCACAACAGCCAGATTTCAGCTGCTGACCACCATAAACTGCAGACAACAACTGGAATTCATTTCCACTCTACTCAGACATGTTTACAGCTGGAAGAACTTTGTAGCCCACTGCCAATTTACTCTGCTCAGGAAATTAGGAAATGCCACATTTCTTCTTGCTATATTTTATGGCTTGCTGACAAGGCGTTCGATCATGTCGAGCTAGAACTTACACTTCTGAAATTTATCTGGTGCTTCATCAATGACATTATCATCAAACAGCACAGTCCCATTAGGGAAAAATAAAAAGTCTTGAATAAAAGATTAAAAAAAGAAAAGAGACAGGGACAGTCTCAGCCCTCCTCAAATGTACTGTAAGAACTATTAGCCCCAAAATGTACTATAAGAACTATTAGCTCTGGAAAGCATCCACTGAAGTTTGAATCACAGGGTGTCTTTCTGCACAGCCAATCTGCTCATCACTATATACATCTCAGCAAACCAGATGCATCATAAAAACCTTATACTTAAAATGTTTTCGGTCAAAAGTTTGCCGAGCGGCCGCGCCTGAAGCTCGTGGGGGTTTGCGCAGTTTCACCGCTGTGGCTTTCCCGCGTAGGCCGGCTCTGTCCCCCTGAAGTTCCTGGTAAACATCGGGGTAAAATGCCACATACCTCACT